GCTCGCGCGGCTGCATTCTGGACGAGTTGAAGTCTCCGAATACTCTTCAAGGGCTGCCCCATGTAGAGCAAGGGGAACCTTTACCTTTTTTTTTTTTACCCTACTTCCTTCAGATTTCAGAAGCCAAAGCTAGTTGAAAGTCAGAAGTCGGGCTTGGCTTTGGTGCTGATGTTCTGGTATTTCTGTTTTTAACTTTGCAAGTTTCAAGTTCATTTGTTGTTCCAATGTTGCACTTTTACAGTGCTGCCCTTTGTTCTTTTTGTCACTTTGTCTTGTCTCTTTGCCAGGTCGCTTTCGTCAAATCGAAGTGCTTACTACTGTGGCCAATGCATTCTCTTCCTTGTACTCTCAAGTTTCTGGCACTCCCATGCAGAAAATTGGGAGCATGAATTCAGTATCTTCCAATAAAGAGGCATCCAGCCCACCTCCTCTGACACGAAGTAACACAGCGAATCGTTTGATGAAGACCCTGTCTAAGCTCAATCTTTACGGAAACCCTCAAGCAGGGGATAGCGGCAGTGGTATATCCACCGAGAAGGGCAAATGTGAAAGTTGGAGTGAAGAACCAGACGTGAAAAACGAAGTCAAAACTCCAAAGCACTTCAAAGCATCTTTGTTGGCAACAGTAAAAGAAGAAGCTCCTTGCAACCAGTCCAGCCTGTTAGGAGCTCTGGATTCTTCAGAACTTTGTCCTAGCGTTCAACAAGAAACTCAAGGTTATTCTATTTCTTACGAAGATCAGCAAAATAATAACTCTTTTGGACATACAGGTGGATTTCATGAAAAGATTGCTGCTATGAACTCTTCTAATCTCACGGGTGATACTCTGGAATCGACCAGTTCTGAACATAAAGATGCCAGGGCAATTCAAATGCCTGCAACTTCAGTGGCTGATAAAGAGGCCTCTGTTCTGCTAACCATTCCCTCGATTGCCAGCCTCATGCTTCAGCAGAAGGACTCCTTTGAGATGGAGGAGGTATGTGGAAAGAGATAAGGATTATTTGCTTATTTGTTGCTTTGATGTTGTAGTTCTTCAAGTGCTGATTCCCCTACCTATTCTGCACATGCTTTCTCTAGTCTGATATCTGGTACGGTTCCACCACAAAACCACACTCGACTAATCCGCGCCCGACTAAACCGCGTCGCTGATGTCATTAACAGGGCGACAACAGCGCGGAGACAGAAGCACGCTGTAAACCTACACCTAAAATTAACCCCTAAACCTAAACCTAACCCCCCTAAACCTAA